GTTTTCATTACTGAATTCAAAATCGACACCTCAGTATATATTTAGAGATGTAATGGGACCTATCAGAAGGAATGGAACTATCTTCTTAGGATCAAATCCTCTCAAGAAAATTGAAGTTAGCTTGTAAGTAAAGAAAACAGAGATTTACTGTGCTTAATATAAACCCGCTAAAACGCCGGCCAAGTAGCTCAGTGGATTAAAGCACCAACAAGGGGGCACAGAAGCCGGGGGTTTGATCCCCGGGCCTGCCCTGTGAGCCCCATCCTCGGGAAGCGCTGAGATAGCATTTGAGACTGGACATGGTGGTGTGCGCCTGTAATCCCAGCTCTCTGGAGGCTGTAAGCAGGCAGATCACTATGCGTCTGATCTAGTAGTGAGACCCTAAACACCCGAAAGACTGTTCCCTAAAATACAAAAACAAAACAAAACAAAACAAAAACAAAAACAAAAAACACCCAAAAAACAAAAAACCTAGTTCATTTGATTTCTTGAGACGTTAAGCCAAACTAAGCCCAACACAAGAAGGACAGTGAGATATACTCTTCTGTTACTATTAGTATTTCCTGCTAAAGTGCTTTAATGTGACATTATCTAATTAGTTTTCCACCCAGACAGTCCGGAGCAGGAGAAATGAAAGCTCTCAAGATGCAAGTGCAGGGCTTTCCCTGCTTTGCACTAGGGGAGAAGCCACTCCCAAGGACATGCACTGGGACAGGGCTTCCAGACCACTGGGCTCCTTATCATGGCTCTGAGGCCCCACGGCCAGCACAGGAGGGCTGTGGAGGGGGACGAGCGGCTGCAGCGACTCCCAGCACCTGCTCAGCCTGGGTGCTGCCGGGCCACCCCAAGGAAGACTGCTGAGGTGGGCGCCGGCAGGGCAGTCATCTTTTCTCAGGTCCTCACTGTGCGGAAGGACAGTTAAGAACCCAGCATCTCTGAGGAGTGGGGAAGGAAGGGTTCCTTCCTGGGTAAAGGGAGGTAATGTTTAGATTTCTGCTAGATGAGTTATATTTCCTATGCTTGCGTGCTGGTGCTAGGCATTTATGTTTTTATATATGTGTTTGTAAAACACCTATCTATCTATCTATCTATCTATCTATCTATCTATCTATCTCTATCTATCTCTATCTATCTATCTATCTATCTATCTATCTATCTATCTATCTATCTATCTAAATCACAGATGCACACAAAATCTGGAGACTAGTAAAAAAAGGAAGTGTGACCTCTATAAGTTCATTTTTAAAAAAATAATCTTTGACGTAACACAGAGTGCCAATGTTCAGATTTTGACATATGGGTGCAATTTGAAAATGTTTCTAAAGTCCTTGATGAAATCATATTTTCATTTTAGGTTTTAATTTAAAGGTCATAGAGGCAGAAGATACAGCTTAGTGGCGCAGTGTTTGCCTAATAAATACAAAGTCCTGTGCTTGATCCCCAGCCTCCCTGAAAACAAAACTACAGCAAGAACGAGAACAAAACTACTTATTAATAGCCTTGTATAGCTCTAAACTTTTTATAAAATCTTTTTACTTTCATTCCCATGATTTTCACTTGTAACAAAAATATATCTGAAAGAGAAATGTGAAAAGGCAAAGAAAAGGCATTATGTTCTTTGGGGTCATGAATGTTCACAGATGACTAAAAACACCATAAAATATTGAACTTAGGTGTAAATGAATATTTTACTAAGGATTATATTGTAAACAACTTTTGCAGGCATAAATGGTAAGTATAGGCAATAAAACAATATTTCTAAAGGAGGATTTTTGTTTCAAATTATTCTTAGTTTATTTGAAATAGCAGTATGTGACATAAAATAACACATTACAGCCACTAAAAAACTTGACAGCAAGGGCTTTTGCAAGCGGTTGATACAGGGAATCAGTGTGATACTGTGAGGATGATTTTTATAGTTTCATAAAAATAGTATGAGAATTTAAGACAAATTTGAACATCAGCTTTCTTCTAGAATTAAAGGAGTCCAAAATGTATTTTCTTTACCAGATAAAATATCCAATGTTACTGGGAACTCTATTTCAGAAATTCCTACTCGGCGGGAGGGGTGGGGCAGGTAGGGCGGAGTGGTGGGGGGCGGCCCGAGGGGGTGGGAGAGGGTCCGGCCCACGCTGCGCCTGGGCTGGGACTGGTCCTGCCGGCGAAGGTTAGCAGGAAGCTCCCCACACACTCACCGGACCTGGGCTAGGACTGGGTCTCGGGAACTCTATTTCAAATAATTTTTTATTTCATAATTTTAAACATCTATTCCTTTTATCACTGCCAATCCACCATTATAATATTTGGTGATATAGTTGTACTTTTAAGTTTTGATCTGTTTCTTACCTTCAAACATTTTCAATGTTTTTGCTTCAGTGAATATCATGATGACAAATGACAAAATTTCATTATTGAAATATTGTCATTTCTTTCTTTCAGGTATATTATTGTAAACTTTCATGTTTCTTGTTTACATTATTCTTTAAATAATGTCAAAGGACAGTAAAATAATCAGATAGCTTTAAGATGTACTGCCCCATGGGCTGAAAGTAGTGACCTTCTTAGCATAGGAATGGTGGCAATCATTGACTTCTACACTGGGAGTGGGTTTGAGGACAAGAATTTGGCATTTGTGCCTAGTTCCTTGTTCCTACATGCAGGCTTATCTGCCTCTGCCACATCATCTCCAAAGTATTAGAATGTGGTCAATATTCTGAAGATAGCGATGCCATTCAGCTTTTTCAGTTCCATGACCTTTTGCAATGAATAATACTGAACACGTTATGCACAGGGTGCATGTATATGAAACTAATGCGGGAGACACAATTCTTTTTTTTTTTTTTTGGCGGAACCAGGGATTGAACTCAGGCCCTTGCGCTTGCCAGGAAAGCGCTTATTCCACTGAGCCATTCCCTGGCCCCCAGGGAGACACAATTCTTATCTGTGTTGTAAAAAAGTTCGCAGTATCTCCTTACCATAGATATGAGGCCATGATTGTGTAGTGCAGCAACATGTTTTGTCATGGGCAACAGAACAGCTGGAAGAGTTGAATACAGGGGCAATGTACATTACAACCTAGACTTTTTCCTTGGTTTGGAAAAATGTTTCTGAAATCAACATAGACTCCACCAAACTAATAAATCTGGTTGGTACATTCAAGATACTTAGAATACATATTGGAATGTTGGACAGAAGTAGATACTAGTGCAGCTTCTAGTTCTTGGATGATTATTTCCATAAAAGCTGGGACTAATTGACCTCATAAATTATTTCTGTTCTCCTCTACACTCAGACACATTTATCCCCCATGACTGTCAAAATTCAAGGGTCCAAGGACCAGAAGCTTTAGATATCAGTAGGGCTGGATGCTGGCCATACCTTGTGCTTTTTGAAGGCCTGGAGACCGGTATCTCCTAATAACCAGCCCCACTCCTTGTATCCTACCACGACTACTCGCATCTCCTCACTCACCCCCAGGTGCACGAAACAGACCCTAAAGAGAACAGAAACTTAGGCTTATTGCAAATTAAGTATTGAATTGATTTTCATTTTTAAACAAAGCGACTATTACAGCATTGGGTGCTCAGCCTGATTAGATAAATTAAATAAACATTCATTAAGTTTGAAACCTTGTCTTTGTTAAATATTACTTTCATCTAGGAAACAGGAAATTATTTCACCTTCAAACACTAAATAATACATTATTACATTGAAAATTATACTTTAATAAGTAAAAGTCAATCAGTAACATACATCTGTAGGACACAATATGGGGAATTATAACCATATTGTGAACAGTAGTCCCCATAGTGTCTACTTGGGACAAGATGACTTTTTCTTGTAGAGGGTCCTATCCAATTCTCAGGCTTGAGACTGTTATTTTCCATAGGCCCCAGCGTGTAGGAAGAGAGTTGTTTCTAACAAAGGGCCATTTGACTCCAAAGTCAACTACTCTCTATACCTAGAAAATTAATGGTATTAATTTCAAAGTAGTTACAATGCGTGTACAATTGCTCCTGTACAATAATATATTTATACTCTTATCACTTCACAGTCAACACAGCTGTAATCATGCCTGTGGGACAATTAGTTTGCATGCGGTGAGCGTGTCATTGTTTTACCCAGGAACATGTGTCACTGAAACAACAATGATGTCCTCCTAGGAATGAGAAAGAGGATGCTTAGCTTTGCATATTCATTAATAGAAATTATATCATACTTTTCTCTAAACAAAGGCAATGAAACAAGCTATCTCTACCTAATTGCAACAAATTCAATAAAGGAATTTCACAACAGCCTCATTCCGTGTTTCTATGCAGGAGTCCAGGGGAACAGGTCAAGAACAACTGTGTCTGCTTAGGTTCTCACTATTTGAACCAGTTCGTTGTAGTTCCTGTCTGTATCCAGAATTGGTAATGGGAATATTCAACAGAAATCCTTTTAAAAGAAACGTTTTGAGGGACAAGGATGTTGACTCTAGTCTATACAGAAAAATAAAAGAAAATGACACCACAAAATCAGAATGTCATATTCCAATAAAAATATCAGAAGACAGAGCAGAGAGCAGAGGATAGAATGCGAAAGTGTAGAGGAGATTTACAGGAGGAAGTGTGACAGGCCAGGGCAGAAGCTAGACAGCGGTGAAAGCAGAAGGACCAGTAGCATCGCGGAGCATGACAAGACAGCAGGGAGCCAGGGGAAATTTTCTTTCCCTCTACCTGACCCCCCGCTAACATACCAGCCTCTCCACCATGGCTGCAGAGCTGACACATCAGCTAATGTGGCATTTGCCATTTCTCCTGCAGCTCCTTGCTTATCAAGAATGTACCAGGAAGTTGCTATATTTCTAAGATCTCAGGAAGAGTGAGAACAAATCAGAGAGGAAGCTAAGGTTCCAACTGGTGGCATTAGAAGGTAAGAGGAGCATTTGGAATATGGAGCGAATTGTAAGGCTGTATTCTCAAATCAGTTTGATTATGAAGATTATTAAACATGGAGACTTTTTTTCCTGCCTCAGGTTTATTTGTACAAAGAGCACAGGAGGACACCAGGCCCCCACAGAAGGCACCCCAGGGGTCATACCAGTCCTTCTTTCTTTACATCAGCAGATAAGAAGCTTTTACTGTGGAGCCTTCAAGGGGGCCTGGGCACCTTTGTGGGCCTTGGCTGGAGCAGAGGCTAGAGCCTGGGCCTTGGCGGGAGCCCAGCCTTTGGTCAGCAAGGCCTGCGACCCTTGGCAATGTGGGCACAGATATGCTTCCCAAGCTTGGGGTGGGCAATATAGGCCAGTCGAGCAAGCCTGAGGTTTGCTCCCTTTGGGATGATCCTGGGCTTGACCTCTTTGGGTTTGACAAGGGCCTTGATAGCCTCAGCACATGCACTCAGCCTTGGCGTTGTTCACTCGCATCTTCTTGAAGCCCTTCTTGTTGTGCTGCTTGGAAAAATGCATGCTCCTAAGGAACTTGAGATCTGCCCCCTTCAGAGATTCCTATCTTTGTGACTGAGATTTCTTGATGCCATTTCTGTGCCATTTTGGGGACTGGTTGTGCGTGGTATGGTTCTTAGACTTGGCCATACTGCACTGTAAACCGCGGCTGCCAAGCGCCTGGAACTAGAAGAAGAAAAGCAAAAAATGGGGGTTTAAAGAAAAACAAAAATTAATAAAACAAAACAAAACAAAAACCAGCCAAGCCTTCTCTTCTTCTTTTCCTTTGTCATGTATGGTTGGTCTGAAGAATCTTCAACTTAATATATCCCTGGGAATTTTCTTATGATTAGACATGTTTGACAAGTCAGGCAGGATAGCTCATGCCTATAATCCCAGCACCCTGTGAGGCTGAGGCAGGAATACTCAGGATTGGGGGGGAAAGAATGGATGATTTATAAATACTACTACATATTAGGATTACAATGTTTGAGGGTATTTAGGCTGGAGAAAGTACTAAAATATAGGAGCAACATAAATGCTGATTTTAATTATTGAAGTTAAGGCTGTGGGAAAGAAGTTGTAGGCAGATATGTGACTCTAGAAAACATTATTAAGGGCTTGGTGAGGCATCTTAGGTGCCTTGTTGCATCCACTAATTATGCCTTTCAGTTTCCTGAACAAGCAGCAAATACTTCTTAATACCTTGAGATTACACTCTGAAGTGAAATAAATTGAGCACATGTGTGTTAAATATCACAAAATGTCTCTGGTGTTAAAAACTGGAAGTGTAAATAAGGACCACAATGTGTACTTGATATTGTCGAATAGGAAGAAAGTGCTCATCTGGGAAGGAAACTAGGAAAAGCGTAGGGGAAGAGGAAGCAAGGGGTGGGCGAGGTGGTGCACACCGGTAATCCTAGCTCTCAGGAGGCTGAGTGAGGCAGGGGTACCGCCAGGAGCGCCAGGCCACCCTGAGCTACGCAGTGAGTTCAAGGCTAACCTGAACTACCTAGAGAGACCTGGTCTAGAAATAAAAAATAAAAGAGAGACAGAGAAAAGATGAAAAAAGAAATGAAAACAATGCTTTTAGAAATAAAGAGGGGAAAAAAGGTTGAAGAAAGGGTAGGGTGACGGGGGAAAATTAAGACATATCATATACAGCGACAAATTCCCTATGATGAATGTGATCATCTTATATAGCTAAAATGTATCAGTGAACTTAATTAAAAAAAGCAGATGAAAACAAAAAGATTAACGAAGAAATAAAAGCCAGTTAGATAGCAACAAGATTAGAATAGTTAACCATAAACCATCTTCCCCCAAGGGGAGAACTATTAATTTTACTGTCCGACAAAACTTCAACACCTCAGGGACGTTGTTCCTGATCTCCATTGCACGGATAAAACCTGTGTGCACCAAGATGGAAATTTATTTAGAGAAAAGATGTAAAGATATCTTCAATATAGTTGTGTTAACTGGGGTCCTTCAGAGACAGGAGCAACACGGTGTGTGCGCGGGCGTGCGTGTGTGCGTGCCGGTTGAGAAGACGTAGTCTAGGGATTAGTTTCTATGACTGCAGAAGCTAAGAGGTGCAGCGACCCTCGGCCCGCAGGCGCAGAGCCCGGGAGGCCTCCGGCGCGCTTCCGTCCCCTGCGAAGGCCGACCGCCAGGAGGGCTGCAGACGCCTGCGCGAAGGTTCGAGGCCCAGAGCGCCCAGGCCCGCGGGTAGGAGGCAGGGTCGCGGGCTGCGCAGGCGTGAGCCAGCCTTGACCAGTGCTTTGGCTTTTTCTAGCAGGCTCCTGAGTGTTGAATGACCACGCACATCTCGACATATAGACGTACAGGCACGTACACACGCACGTACGCATGCACGCACGTGCGCGCTCAAAAAGGAATAAATATTGTAGTACATCCTTAGCCTGTTGCGTTTCTTGCCAACAGCATGAAGCAAATACAACATCACAAAATATAAAGACAGTGACTTTGGTAGTCATATTTACAAGTGCAGATCTTTTAAATGTAAAACTCTCTCTAGCATGACTTGACTTTAAAATGCCACAAATATTTTTAGGGTCCAAATTAGTGCTCTGTAAGATAGAAAAGGCGCCGTGCGTGAGCGCTGGAGAGTCTGAGCTTGAGGAATCGCGGGAGCGCGTGTGCTGGAGCGAACGCCAGCCAGGGCTCCGCCAGCAAGGGCTCTGCCAACCCAGAGGCCTGCCGCCCGGCGACAGTCAGGTGCGCCAAGGTAGGGGTGGTCTCCACGAAACCCGCCCGCAGGGTCCTGGGGCTTGGACTCAACCTCCCTGCACACCCTTGCAGCCTAGCTCAGTAACAGTTGTGCTTTCCCCAGCTTTCAATGTGCAGGCACCGACAGCCTCCAGTGTCCATGCACCTGCTTTATCTCCCTCCACGTGTTTGCCTTCAGCTTCTGCACGGAGAGCGCCCTACCGTCCAGGGCCTGCCTGGCTCACTCGCCGCCCGCCTAGCTCGGCTTCGCGCACTGCAATGATGCTCGCATTTAGAGCTGCTCTTCGTTCAGTGGGAAGAAGAGACAGTATTGAACATGCTTTCAGATTTTAACCCCGTCGTGCTGTCCAACAGCCTCTGTGTCTATGCTAACATGCTAATAGCTTTGGTTTTTCCTGAATCGCCTAATTCATTTTACTCCATCTTTCATTCTGAACCTAGAGTACATTTTCTCAGGAAGTAAATGTCATCAGGCCTTCTCATCTGTATCCACTTTAAAATACCTCTAGGGTTTTGTTTGTTTGTTTGCAAAAATACAGCCTGTGTCACTCTGATCTTTAATGATAAGTCGGGCAACAGGGACTGGGCGAGGGATAAAAAGCCCTTTCCCTCCCTCCCTCCCCCCTCGCGGGGGTGTGGGGGGTCCAAGGGTCCAGGCGTGGCGCCGCGGCACGCGTCTACCCCTCCGGCCGGACATGAGTCCCTATACTCCTCAAACTCTTCCATGAAATTGAAAAGGAAGCAATCCTCCCAAAAACATTCCTGGAAGCAAGTATTATATTAATACCAAAACCAGGGAAAGATGCAACTAAGAAAGAGAACTACAGGCCTATCTCCCTCATGAACATAGATGCC